CACATGCACATGCCCAAAGTCCTGAGAGATGGAGAAAAAGGGATTGAGACGTGACCATGCCCCATGCGGGGTACTTTCTCCCTTTTGTCTCTGGATCTCTCTCTGGTGAGAGCATGTACCTTCTGACCAAACAAAACAAAATGAAACAAAAACAACAACATAGCATAGGTGAAGAAAACCATATGGCAAAGGTAGGGATACCAATTTCTTTTTTTTAGATATCACTAGAAATGCTTTAAAAGCATATTTTTGTTTGTTTGTCTGTTTTGCTATAGGACACTTGTACTCAATAGAGATAGAGAAAGAAAGAAGGAAAGTGAGAAAGTATCCAATGGGGGAATGGTCACAAAACAATCTCTTCCCCTCATTCACCTCTTAGGACTTTGGGCACACACAGACATAAACATGCCTCTCCGGCAGAACTGCACAATCAGCCATGTGGGATCTAGCTGTCTTACCCTCCATAACATCTGCTGGACCTCTTAAAAGTATGTGCAAAGGCCACAATAAGACTTCAAAACTCTTTCTCAACAGATACACAAACTAGTAGAAGGAGGTAAATCTGGGAGATGAAATGCGTACGCTATCTGAGCCTAGAAATAGAAAGTGATAGGACCTGAGTCTAGAAGGGTAAATTAAGGACAGATTATAAAAGAATGTGAATGCTAAAATAACAACTGTAGATTTTATCCTGTGGACAAGAGAGGATGAGCAAAGAATTTTATGAAGAAGATTGATGTGGTTCATTTTGGCAAATACATGAAAAAAAGTTTGGACAGACAGAATGAAGATAGAAAGACAGTTAAGATGCTATTGTAATAGTGTAGGCAAGAAAAAAATGAGTCCTGAATTTCAGTAATGGAAAAATCTACTGCAGGTTCTAAAACAAAAATGGAGTTTAGGATGTCATAATCTATTATTTTAAAACAAAATTTTTAAAAAATTAATATTCTAACAAAAATTCCCAAATAAGACTCAAAAAGGGAAAGACAAATTAAGGTAAAGACTAGAATTAAAGGAGTAAATTGCAATGATACCAAAGATTACTCAAGACTATAAACTCAGAAATAGATATTTCAGGTTTAGCATCAAGAAAGAGAACATCCTCATGACCAGACTAATACTCAGCAAGTCTTTAGGGCACTAACGCTCTAGCCAAACAACAAACACTATTCACCTCACATGCCCCTACAATGCAGGGTCAACTCACACCCACAGTGAGCTGCAGAAAGTGCAAAGTCAAATTTCAAATCATAGTCTCAATGGTATAGGAGCCCCACATCTATAATTACACATAAAAAACAATTTATATGAGATAAATCTTCTGGAAATACTACCATGCTAATTCATATTCCAGTCTTTAAATTCTTTTTTTTAGAGTTATTTTATTTAACTTTATTTATTTATTTTAATTTGATCAGAGAGGGACAGTGTGAGAGAGAGAGAGACAGCAAAAGTGAGAAAGCAAGCCGCCAGGTCCAGGACTTGAACCACAGTTGGCCATGTGGGAGTCCAACACCCTTAACCACGCCACCTGCCAGCCTCCCCAGTCTAAATTCTGAAATTCTTCGTATGAAACATAACCTATCTATAGCACTCTAAACAATAAGCAAAGAAATGAACTCTCCTATTGCTTCCATAGAATGGTTAATAAATGTAATTAATCTAATTAAAAATAAAAATTTCATTGTGGCTCAAAAGGCCAAAGATGGTGAGTTTTTCTGTTTGAAAAAGGGACTCTTTAGCTGCTGAAAACAAAGGTTAATGTATAGTGATATAAAATCCAAGTACAACATGTTAATAGGCATGCTAGAATTACAACAGAAAAGCTAGCATTACTGTTTTAAGATCTAAGGATATTCACATTAAGAATAAAATTATCCTGTAGGGAATGACAACAATGCACTTTACACTACACAGACACAAATTTGAAGGTTCTTTGTTCTCATCCTAATTGTTTTCTTTCTTTTTAAAGCTTACTTGTTTTCTTCCATTACCCACAAAGACAAAGAGAAAAAAAAGAACCTTCAACATGGTCTTGACACCATAATCTAACCCACACTGAAACCTGTCCTACAACAGTTTGTGGGCAAGTGTATACCAGGCTAGGAGATCTTTGGACTTGAATTAGGAATCTTCCAATGTGGAAGAATGCATTTTTTTTCACTGTTGGGATTCTGATTCTTTTGTCATTTGCAAGAAGGGGGCCAGCCACTGGCACAGTACTTTAAGCAGGTGGATCCCAGGGAACCAGCAGTTAGCGTAATGGCTATGTCGCTGGATTCCCACATAGTCAACCGCAGTTCGCGTCCCGGACCAGGTGGCTTAAAACTCACGCCGGGTGCGTGTGCGTGCATGCCTAAGATCCCGAGAGGAGAATGGAGGAGAAGGGATTGCAGCGTGACCATCCCCCCCTAGGGGGGGTGATTCTCGCTTTCTGTCTCTCTGTCTCTCTCTGTCTGGCGAGCACACGCGCCCTATAGCGAAAAACCTCTCCAA